GTGCAGGGCCGGGGCCGCAGGGGCCAGCGGTGGAGGGCCAAGTGCCCCAGGGCCTGAGCCGAGCCGGGCACAAGACGCCGGGGCCAGAGCCTCTTGGCCTGGGCCAGCCAGCCGCTGGAGGGAGTCGCTCGGCCTGGGGGGCCGGACTGGGCCACGTCGTGCCCCGCCCCAGCCCCAGCTTACCTGCTGCCTCCCTGTTCAGGCTTCCCGCGAACATTTGATTTGCGGGAAGCGAGGGGAGGGGGAGGAGCGAGGGGGCGGAGTGTTCGAGGGGAGGGGGACTTTGGGGAAGGGGTGGAGTTGGGGCAGGGCTGGGGCCCCGTGGAGTGTCCTTTTTTAAAATTAAAATATGGTAACCTAGTATGTACCAACAGGCATAGTCCATTCTCCAAAGATCTTGAAATCTAGAGTCCTGATCCTACAGGTACATGCAAGTAAGTCACATGGACTCACCTTAACTGATTAGTCTTGTTACAGTTGGTATGGCAACACCTGTTTTTTCACATCCTCTGTGTGTATATCTTCCTACTGTATTTTCTACTGCATGCATCCAATGAAGTGAGTTTTAGCCCACGAAAGCTTATGCTCAAATAAATTTGTTAGTTTTTAAGGTGCCACAAGTACTCCTCGTTCTTTTTGGACTTCAGTGAAACTCTGACTAGTCTTAAACATGGGAATAAATGTTTGCAGGACTGGGGCTCTAGACTAGCAAAGCCTGTACAGCCAGCTCCAAGATAGCAATTGCTTTAATGTTAGATCTCAGTACAATCAATCAGTTGATTAAATGCTGAATCCAGATTTGGCATCCATTCCCCAGTAAGTGTCAGGATTTCTGGTGTGTTTAGTGTAAGCTCTATATATTACTGGGCAACAAATATGGCCCTCCAGAGAAAAGATCTGTAGTTTAACTCTTATCCCAGAACAGAATGAAAGGGAAAGAAAATTTACCTCTCTCAGAATAAGCAAAAGAAACGGCTGTGCTCAACACTTGGCTGGCATCCGGAGACTGCAGATACCATGTACACACGCTCTGCTGAGGCCGAAGGATGGAAACTAACCCTTTGTCCACTCCAGTTCCTGAGCTATTTGCAGAGGAATTCTGAAAACAAACAGATAAAACCCAAGCACACTTCAGCAAAGCAGTAGGTTTTTGCAGTGACAGACAAACAGAGAGCTTGTTCCTGAAGGCACACATTACCTGGGGCATGCATCCCATTGCCAGCTATTAGATCATTGCATACTCCAGACAAGTCAGCCAGCTACAGGCTTTTTTATTTTATTTTATCTTTATTCCTTTACGAGGCAATATCATTTAGTTTGGGCTCAAAATATGACACTGGAGTGATTAGTCTGAGGCAATGTTCTCAGACTTCTAAGTCCCTATGTTGCATTTGTGATTGTTTTACATTGATCATTCTGTTGCTTTTTTTTTAATTATTATTATTTGCTTTATTTAGGATCTACACAAAAAGCAATGCTTTATGCAGTTACCTCTGCAGCAATAGTTTAGTACTACTGAATATTCCAGAAAAGCGAGTGGGTTAAAGCGTTGGAGAAGAAACTTGCACAGCCACCACCTCCACCAATCACAAGTTCCCAATTTTGTCCCAAATACCCTGTGAGTGAGTCCTTGCTGAAATGCCCACGAAAGTTTTGCTTAGGAGAATGGGGTCAGTCACAGGAAAGCTACCTAATGGTACAGAGATTATACTGAAGAAGGTACATTTTGTCTCACAAACAAATTACATCCTCGTTGCAACAGAATTAGATTACACTGTCCATTGCTACTGTTGCTGAACTGAGCCTAGAGTTCAGCAGCAAGAATGTTTATGCTTCATTAGAAAGGGGGGGGGGGGAAGAGAAATCATGTTTGTGAAAGAAAAATGGAGAATCAATTTGAGCTTTTAACAGCATTTCTCCCTCTCATCCCACACACTAGAGTTAAACAAAAATAAATCCAGAAGTGGCAATTAGGGGAACAAAACAAAAAAGCCATACACAAAATTTTAAGAAGGGCCCTATAACATCCACACCTATAAATATGAATTGCAACAGCCAAAGGTTTGTACCCTAGTGGAGACCACTGAGTGGGGAACTGGTATATTGATGTCAGTCCTAGGTCAAATATGAGATGTTACAGCATGTTTCAAAGGTCATGTGACAGAACCACAATTAAAGCTTCAGAGCAGTTTGCAGCCAACTGCTCATTCATTCAGAATCCCAATATACAAAATGGCTCCATGTTTTTTTGTGAGACATAAGCTACAAGAAAGTTGAGTAGACATGAGAAAGATTCTTAGTTCTAAAGTCTGGGAGCTAGACTAAAACATTAAAAACATATGCATGGTTCATGCAGTTTCATTCCCCCCTGCCCCTCCAACATAAATTTATCCTTACCACAGAGTGTTTTTCTAATCTTCCTCTTCTAAAGGTGAGTACCATTAGTTAATGTGAACACAATGGAGGAATTTGGATTCCAACTTCATACATACCTTATCAAAAGAGATGGTTACATTTTTTTGGTGGGAATGTACTTGAAAAATAATGACAGTCACGTTGCTTGCAATATTCCTTATTACAGCTTCCACTGGGATGGTCTTGTTAAGTAGCACATTTCTGAACTTGTCCAAAGAGAGTTCAAGAAGACCTGTATTAAATAAATATCCAACAATCAAAAAAGTTATGTTGGTATCTTTGAAAGGGAGGGGAGGAAGGAGATAGATGTAATGAGTTTAAAGATTTACGGGGTCCAAAATTAATTATCTGGAGACAAAGCAGAATTTGGTACTACAAAAAAAAAAAATGAAATTCACATCAGAACACCACAGACGATAAAAAGATCTGCTTCTCCAGAAGAAAGCCATAATGAGCGTTTAAGCCTGGGACCCACAATGAGTGTACATCAGAGGGGCTGTCCTCACTAAAATCTTATGTTGTGCAGAACTGAGTTAGTCAACAATGCTGGCCATGCCTGAACTGACTGCAAACAAGGCAAACAGCATTCGGTATGGAATAAATATGATCAGTTGAGTTAGCTGACATGATGCTGAATGCCACTTTCCCTTGTCTACTGGCATAATTGACTGGTCAGTGCACTATCCTCACAATATAGTCTTTAGACATATCAGGAGGAATCCAGAGCCTGCTGAACTCAATGGCAAAACTTCCAGAATTCACCCAAAATTTCCTAGTGAAGACACGCCCAGCCACTTTAGAGAAGTTTAACATTTTTCCTTGGTGCACGTTGATCTTTGAATTCTGCATTGATGGCACAATAAGTCTCTAAGTGAGGAGATCTGATAAAAGTTAATTCATTCAAAAAGAAGTTTGGGGGCTGAAGCCAGGGCAGTTTCCCTTAAATAATGCAGTCTTGCTGGAGTATGATCTTAAACACCTTCTGCATTAGTTTAAGAGCCACGCTGTGTGACCCAGCATACAGATAATGAGAATTAACATGTTAAGTAGTTATTCAGGTTCTGCAAGAAAGCTTAATTAGTGCCAGTAGCTGAGAGGAAAAACAAAATCTACATAAAAGACCTCAAAATCCATTTGTCACGTAGTTAAAGAAGCTCATGTTTTGTAATCAGTGGGTCTTCTGTTTTTGTTTTTAGATTCTTTCAGATATATGGTTAGGTCTCTATCAGCCCCAGTCTACACTACAAGCTTATGCCAGTATAACTACATTGCTCAGGGGTGTGGATTTTCTATACCCCGAGTGACGTAGTTACACCGACCTAACCCCCGGTGTAGACAGCTCTATGTCGATGGGAGGGCTTCTCCCGCTGACACAGCTACCGCCTCTTGAGGAGGTAGAGTATTTACACCAAGAAATTATCCCATCAGCGTAGGGAGCATCTTCACTAAGCACTACAGCAGTGCAGCAAGTGTAGACAAGCCTTCCGTTTTAAACCAAGAGGCACAATTCATGCTAAGTTCTCCCTGCCCCCAACCAGTAGTCTAGTTAGCAGAGAACTTACCAGGCATAAAAACATACGTGAGCTACTTCCTCAGCAGAACAACTCTTATCATGGAGTAAATGCTGACACAGATGTTGCCTATTATTCCATGCCTCTGTTAGATGGACTGGATTTGCTTTGAGGACAATCAGTGTTGCTGCTTCCCTTCTCCAATCCCCTCTCAGAATATGCAGCAGACAGGTGCCCTTTTAAACCCTCAAGAGGATACTGTAAAGTTAGCCACACTGAAGGTATGAGACTTGGGAGGACTGCAGTAGCAGCAACCACAGCCAGACTGGATTATATGCACAGGAATTCAGAACTATCAAAAGAAAACTTTATCCTTACACAAGATTTACATGTTACGTCACTGGCTTTAAGGCCTGGTCTATGGGAGAAGTGGGGGACGGGGACGATCCAAGTTATGCAACTTCAGCTACGTGAATAACGTAGCTGAAGTTGATGTACTTAGATCTACTTACCGCAGTGTCTTCACTGTGGTAAGTCGACGGCTGACACTCTCCCATCGACTTCGCCTGTGCCTCTCACTCCGGTGGAGTACCGGAGTCGACGGGAGAGCGCTCGGCGGTCAATTTATCACATCTAGTCTAGACGCGATAAATCGACCCCCGCTGGATTATCGCTACTCGTGGATCCAGCGGGTAATGTAGACATGCCCTAAAAAGCAGCTGTCTCTATAGCAGGGGTCGGCAACCTTTCAGAAGTGATGTGCCGAGTCTTCATTTATTCACTCTAATTTAAGGTTTCGCGTGCCAATAATACATTTTAACGTTTTTAGATGGTCTCTTTCTATAACTCTATAATATATAAATAAACTATTGTTGTAAAGTAAATAAGGTTTTTTAAATGTTTAAGAAGCTTCATTTAAAATTAAATTAAAATGCAGAGCCCCCCCGGACTGGTGGCCAGGACCCGGGCAGTGTGAGTGCCACTGAAATTGGTACGCGTATCGCCTTTGGTACGCGTGCCATAGGTTGCCTACCCCTGCTCTATAGTATGCTTTCAGATGGTCCCGTTCATTGTAACAATAGCACCAGCTACGGTTTTAGTTTTCACTTCATACAACACAGGCCTTTCACCAAGACTGCAAGGAATGCATTTTCTCCCCCCCATCTCAACCTTCACGAAGACCTTGTCTACACTAAAGTGTTTTGTTTACAAAAGTCAGCTTTCGTTGACAAAACAGTGGAGGTGTACACACTACAATGCTCCTCCCGCTGATTTAACTCTCTTGCTATGCCAACAAAATAAAGCCACCTCGAGGAGAGGTGTAGGGCTTTTTGCAGCAAAAGTTAGATTGACGCAGGTTATGTCGCCATAAAAAGCCTTTGGGAGGTGTCTCACAATGCCCACCCTGACAGCTCTGGTCCGCAGATCAAACTCCACTGCCCTATACCCAGGTACACCGGCATCCACCCGTCCCGCTTTAAAGGGACAGGAATTTTTGAAATTCCACTTCCTGTTTGCTCGGCATGGAGAGCTCACATTGCCTCTTTCCAGCTGACCATAGCAGCTCCACACACTAAATGATCTCCCGCATGAAGTACACTAGAGTAGTTGGATCTGCTGGCTCTGTAGAGAGAGGAGGTTGTACAGTCCCAGCTCCGCACCAGTCATAAAAACTTCTACACCTATGGGCAGATTTCCATGGCATGTTGGATAAGGGCTATGAACGGGACATGCATCAGTACTGTGCGAAGATAAAGAAGCTGAGGCAAGCATACCAGAAAGCAAGGGAGTCAAACTGTCACTGGTGCTACACTGAAGACCTTCCGCTTCTACAAGGAGCTGGATGCCATCCTTGGTGGTGACCCCATCTCCACCACCAAGAGCCCCACGGATACTTCAGGGGGGTTGGAGACAGCGGCCAGCGGACTCAACCCCGAGGACGAAGTGGTTGACAAAGAAGTGAAGTTGGAGGATGAGATAGGACAAGCAATAGGGTCACCTGGTAGCGTGTCAAGCCAGGAACACTTCTTAACCCCAGAAGGTTCGAGCCAGTCCCAGCACTCTGGCGCGCTTGATGCAGGAGAGGGGAGCTCTGGTAAGTGCTCATTTTGAGTTGATACTGCTCAGTTACAGGAGGCAGAGCTGTCCTTTATTTTGTTATATGCTAGAAGTGAGTTAAGGGATAGAAATGTCCAAAACGAGCTGTGTTTGTGTCTGCTTCACATTCCCTTGTGCAGCTTCACAGTGGAGACCCTGTGGAACACACAGATTTCACGGGAATCCTTCAGAGAGGTATCTAGGAAACTTTCCTGGAGGTACTTGCCAATCCTCTGCTAAAGGTTCCTTGGCAGAGCTGCTTTGTTCCTTCCCCCATTGTAGGTAACTTTTTCTCGCTAATCAGTAATCACATAGGGACCAGGTCTGAAG